AGTTGTGTGCTTAATTACATGGTGCACTTGATTCAAAGTTCTGAACGTTTCTGACACAATTCCATCGAATCAAGTCGTACCGAACTACGTTCAGGACAGAGTTTTGTCTGCACCAAAACTCGAGGTGGTGCACGCAGGACAGAAGCATTTCCAAGATGGCGAATAGTGATGCATTTTATGACACGGGTTGGAAAGAAATACATATGTTCCCAGTGCCAAGACTGTGAATTAATGTTTGATGACATGGAAGAATTTGTTAGACATCCCTGTCGAAATGGTGTTTAATTTGTGCTTTCGCAGACTTTAATGACGTTTTACATCTGACACTCATCGTGACGTGAATGGAATATCGGTGGCCGAAGAAAACGTTTGTAAATTTTACGTAGGAGAATCGTGTGAATTTGTCGTGAACTTTTTAAGACAGATTGCTAAATGAAGATACTGAACATGGGTAGGCTGTATAAGATAAGCTTTTTTTCATAATAGTAATAAAACAAAGCTACATGTACTGCATGCTTTGCTTGTGTCCCCTCAGTAAAAGTGTCTGATAGACCTGTTTTTTGCTTGTTAGGAACTTTTGGTAATTTATACTCAGTAATGCCCCCCCTCCCCCCCAAGAAAAACTGAAATCGCTTCCTACGGGCCAAAGATTAGCTTTCAGAACTGCACATATGTACAACTTGAATTCTACAATGAAATTTAGCTGCTTCTTTTTTTTTTATCTTTAATTTTCCTTTTCAAAGAAATTTTTTTAGAAAATGTTTTATTTTAGATGGGCACTTTCTTCTTATTTCTAAATCAGCTGTTATTATATTTAGTTTTTTAGCTCTACTGGTCCGAGACCAGAAGATCTTCTGCGATAGTAATGCGTCCGGCGTCCGGCTGTCCTTCCGTCTTTCTGTCCGTCTGTCTGTAAACAATTGCTATCCGTTTTCGGATCCACCTTAAAACATGAACCAAATTCTATTATTTGAAAGGTGTTGCATGATTCCAAGGTGACCTACAAGGCCCTTGGGACTCTTGTCCAAAATGCGACTCCTCCTTTAGTTTTGGTCTGATTTCAATATAACTTGGCACATAAGTAGACTACACTAAGATACATAATTCTGTATATCCATTTTAGATTTCAATGAACGGTGTTGCCGTGGTTACTAAAAATAGAAATTTCTGTGAAATTCTTTCAAAATGCTACTCCTTGTACAGTTTTCTGTTTTCAATATAACTTGGCACACAGGTAGATTACACAAGATATATAATTCTGTATATCGGTTTTTGATTTCGATGAGTGGTGTTGCCATGGTTAATAAAAATAAATTTTCTGTGAAATTCTTTTAAAATGCTGCTTCTCCTACAGTTTTGGTCTGGTTTCAATATAACTAAATACACAAGTAGAAAATACTTTGGTACATAATTCTCTATATTGGTTTTGATATCGATGAACGGTGTTGCCGTGGTTACTAAAAATAGAAATTTCTGGGAAATTCTTTCCAAATGCTACTCCTCCGACAGTTTTGGTCTTATTTCAATATAACTTGGCACGCAAGTAGACTTAACTAAGGTACATACATCTTTGTATCGGTTTTTGATTTCGATGAACGGCGTTGCCGTTGTTACTAAATATGCTACTCCTCCTACAGTTTTGGTCTGATTTCAATATAACTAGGCACATAAGTAGACTACACTAAGATACATAATTCTATATATCGATTTTAGATTTCGATGGACGGTGTTGCCTTTGTTACTAAAAATAGAAATTTCTGTGAAATACTTTCAAAATGCTACACCTCCTACAGTTTTGGTCTGATTTCAATATAACTTAGCACACAAGTAGACTACACTTAGATACATAATTCTGTGTATCGATTTTTGATTTCGGTGAACGGTGTTGCCGTGGTTATTAAAAATAGAAATTTCTGTGAAGTACTGTTAAAATGCTACACCTCCTACAGTTTGGGTCTGATTTCAATATAACTTGGCACATAAGTAGACTACTCTAAGATACATAATTCTGTTTATCCATTTTAGATTTCAATGAACGGTGTTGCCGTGGCTACTAAAAGTATAATTTTCTGTGAAATACTAATTTCAATATGCTACTCCTCCTACAGTTTTGGTCTGATTTCATTATAACTTGGCACACAAGTAGACTACACTAAAATACATAATTCTGTGTATCGATTTTTGATTTCGAGGAATGATGTTGCCATGGTTACTAAAATTGAAAATACTCTAAAAGTTTATTAATAGCTACTCCTACAGCTGTAGTCTTATTGCAGTATCTTGCCACAAAAAGAGCTCAATCAAGCATCATTATTCTATTTATTGCTGTTGTAAAGTTTGAGTCCCAACTGCTACTTTTGTCTTCATTTGTTATAAGTACAAACCAGTAGAGCTTCAGTCTCGACAGAGACTTCTGGTTTTCAAACTTGGGGAAATATGAAAACGTAACAGTTTGATCAAAAGCGCCGATATGTAGCCTGTAGGCCTAGCGCGCACTTGCTTTTACATTCCGTATTTATCCTGACCTGTTTCGTCCAACTGTGTTCGTGATCAACACGTGTTGAATACGTCGGTAAAAATTAATCATGAATTTAACAATAGCTTTTTTTTTCAGAAAGATTGGATTAATGATTTATAAAATATCCATGTTTTTTAGCTCTACTGGTCAGAGACCAGAAGAGCATATGCGATAGTAATGCGTCCGTCGTCCGTCCGTCTGTCTGGCTGTCCGTCTGTCTGTCCGTCTGTAAACAATTTTTCAAAATGCTACTCCTCGTACAGTTTTGGTCTGATTTCAATATAATTTGGCACACAAGTAGAGTACACTAAGATACATAATTCTGTTTATCGGTTTTTGATTTCGATGAACGGTGTTGCCATGGTTACTAAAAATAGAATTTTCTGTGAAATTCTTTCAAAATGCTACTCCTCCTACAGTTTTGGTCTGATTTCAATATAACTTGGCACACAAGTAGACTACATTAAGATACATAATTCTGTGTATCGGTTTTTGATTTCGATGAACGGTGTTGCCGTGGTTTCTAAAAATAGAAATTTCTGTGAAATTCTTTCAAAATGCTACTCCTCCTACAGTTTTGGTCTGATTTCAATATAACATGGCACAAAAGTAGACTACACTAAAGATACATAATTCTGTGTATTGGTTTTTTATTTCGATGAATGGTGTTGACGTGGTTACTAAAAATAGAAATTTCTGTGAAATTCTTTCAAAATGCTACTCCTCCTACAGTTTTGGTCTGATTTCAATATAACTTGGCACACAAGTAGACTACACTAAGATACATAATTCTGTATATCGGTTTTTGATTTCGATGAACGGTGTTGCCGTGGTTACTAAAAATAGAAATTTCTGTGAAATTCTTTCAAAATGCTACTCCTTCTACAGTTTTGGTCTGATTTCAATATAACATGGCACACAAGTAGACTACACTAAGATACATAATTCTATATATCAGTTTTTCACTTCAATGAACGGTGTTGCCGTGGTTACTAAAAATAGAAATTTGTTAAATACTCTCAAAATGCTACTCCAAATACAGTTTTAGTGTGATTATAATATAATGTGGCATGCAAGTAGACTACACTAAGAACATAAAGAGACTTAATCAAGGATCATTATTCTATTTATTGCTGTAGAAAAGTTTCAATTCCCAACTGCTTAAGTACTTTTCTCTTCCTTTGCTATAAGTACAAACCAGTAGAGCTTCAGTCTCGACAGAGACTTCTGGTTTTTTTTCCCGGCGAACATAAGCATAAAAAATTTCATTTGCCAATGCCATCAAGAAATAATTTTTAAAATCCAGTGTAGTGTTACTTTTGAAAAGAAAAATCAAGTGTACTTTAAAAACACTTTTCAGTTTAATGCTGATTATTTATTGATTTTTTTTACTATGGCCCGTATAGTGTGTATCCTACAGTTTTCCAAAGCTATCTTTTTGATTTAGCTCCCTTTCTTTGTTGCCATGACTGTAGATAAACAGCGCGTAAATTCATAATGGACGATAGCGGGGAAAACGATGCCGAGTCTGAAGTTTCGTTGTCTGATGGATCAGATATTGGTGTAGACGAATCCAATAATGAAGATTTTTCATCTGATACTGATAGTGACTCAGATTCCCAACAAACTCGGTCATTATTGTGTACATTATACTGTCAGTTGAGCGACATTGGCGATGATTTCTGGTCCCACGAACTTCACGATATAGAGATTGCTGAATTTCAAGAAGAGTATTGTCCCTCCTATGATCTTGATCCCTTGGACCATGTATACCGATACTTTTTGCTGATGGTACCAACAACAATTTTCGGAAAGATAGCCGAGGAAACTAACAGTATGCAGAACAAAGAGCTGAGAGAACTGGGCAGCCCGATGCTGACTGGACCCTGACAAACGAAAGAGAGGTGAGGGCGTATTTTGGATTATGGATTTTCATGGGGATTAATCAGTCACCAAATATTCATATGTACTGGTCTGATAACAAATATACAGGTAAGTGTAGGTAAATAAATAAGGAGGGAATGAAACTGGGTGAGGTTTACATTTATTTAGTAGTTCTACAAAATAAATAATTGTTTTATATTTATTCGAAAAATTCAGTTTCCTTGTACATGTAACGATAAAAGGGGAAATAAAATGTCAAGCATAATGCAAATTATATGGACATAAATTGTTTATGCCCTGTTTGGATGGCTAGGTTCGCTAATTGCCAATTACAACACCGAGTTCACACAAACACGTTTATTCCATATGGCGCTAAAACTAAACAGGTACATATTCAGTCGTACATGAAAAGGTTACACATACACTAGATAGTTCGTACGATAACACATTTACTAAACATCTCCCCTCTAAAAGTTTATGACTAGGATTTCACAGAAAATTACTAGAATAAAACATAAGCTACAAATAAAACTCATCCTGCATGCATTACTTGTTACATACAAATTAGATCATTATTACACAAAGAGTTCACAAATGTTCATTCGTAGTCTTTGAATCTTATGGGTTTGTGAATGACACGTCCCGAACGAGTTACGTTTTTGGACTTCACGGAAGGAGATGTAACTTCCTGGCTAGGCGGCTCAGAGGGTGGCTCAACGTCAGACGAAACACTTGGTTTACTGTCGGTTAACGGATACGGCACATTTACGGTATGTGGCAATTCGGTGTTCATGTATCCAGTATGCTGCAAGTGCCTCCGATTTCTCCTCAATGTTCCATGATCGGTTTCCACTAGGTATGATCGAATTTTGTAACTTGCACTAGTGATTGTGCCACTATCTGTCCACTGTTTCTCTTTGTCGGTCTTGATGCGAACTTGGTCTCCGGGTCCAAGCCGGTGGAGTTTCCTAACCCCAAATCGGTTGTCATAATGAAATTTTGAAGTTTCCTTCGTTCGTGCGTCCTGTCTCCTCACTTGGTCCAAGTCCGGCCACTTTGGTGCTAGTGAAGACGGATTGACTGGAACAACGGTTCGAATCCTCCGTCCCATGATGAGTTCGGCTGGACTGACTCCTGTAGTTGAGATGGGTGTTGAACAGTACGCCTTTAGCGCAACAAAGATGTCATCCTGCTGTCGTATACGCTTCGCGGTCTTAACAGCGCTCTCCGCCTCGCCGTTTGCTTGCGGGTAGTGAGGACTGCTGGTTGTATGTGCGAATCCGTACTTAGCTGCGAACTTCTTGAAAGAGTCTGATGTAAACTGGGTGCCGTTGTCGGTTACCAATTCCTCTGGAATACCCCAACGAGCCAATATATTCTTGAGTTTTCCAATTACATGAGCACTAGTCAACGAATCCAGATACGCAATTTCCAGATAACGAGAAAAATAATCTGTAACTACTAGGAAATGTCTACCCTGCAGCTCACACAGATCTGCAGCTATCTTTTGCCACGGACGATCTGGAAGGACTGTAGTCTTCAACGGTTCTCGGTTCTGTTTTGGTTGATGAACAAGACAGAACTTGCAGGACTTTACGGTACGCTCTATATCGGTTGATATTCCTGGCCACCATACAGCTCCTCGTGCGCGTTCTCGGCACTTGTTCAGACCTAAGTGTCCTGAATGTATGTCTTGCAATGTTTCTGGTCTAAGAGCCTCCGGAATAACAATTCGGTCTCTGTACATCAGAATTCCATTCCAGACAGACAATTCGGATCTTGCGGAAAAGTATGGTCGGATTTCTGCTTTCAGTGATCTCTCATGGTCTGGCCACCAGTTCTGAGTCCTCTTCAAAACTTCAGACAACTCTGGATCATCTGCTGTAGCTAATCGAATGCGCTCTATTCGTTGATCTGATATGGGAAGATTCTCTACGACACAGTCTACATAGAGATTGACTTCCTCCTCTGTGTCCTCAGTGTTTCCAGTTAGCGGACTCCTGGAAAGAGTGTCGGGAACCACGAGATTTTTCCCTGGCACATGTTCTGCTATTGGATTAAATCTGCGTAAACGCATCAAAAGTCTCTGACATCTCACAGGTGTCCTGTCTAGAGCTTGAGTGTTAATGAGCGGAACGAGAGGTTTGTGATCAGTGATGAGCTTGAATGAGTCGAGTCCAATGAGGTAGCGCTCGAACTTCTCACAGGCCCATATAGATGCTAAACACTCCTTCTCGATCGGTCCTCAGTACCCCCTTGCTTGTCGTAAAAGGCGACTAAATGGGGCGGTCCTTCGGATGAGACCGTATAAACCGAGGCCCCGTGTCACAGCAGGTGTGGCACGATAAAGATCCCTCCCTGCTCAAAGGCCGTAAGTGCCGAGCATAGGCATAAATTTGCAGCCCTTCACCGGCAATGGTGACGTCTCCATATCAGTGAAATATTCTGGAGAGGGACGTTAAACAGTATTCAATCAATCAATCAATCAATCGATCTGTGCATATTTGGTTTCGGCCAGTGACAGTGTCCTCGACGCAAACGCAATAGGTTTAAGCTGACCATCAAACCGCTGAAATATAGCGGCTCCTAGGCCATAACTGCTGGCATCTGCACTAATCACGACTGGCTTTGAAGAATTGTAGAAGGCTAGTGCAGGTGTTTCTGTTAGCATATCCTTCACTCTTTTGAAGGCCTCTTCCTGGGGGTTGTCCCATAACCATACCGAGTCACTCTTCAAAAGATCAGTAAGGGGGTGCATAACCGTAGAAAGGTTAGGTAAAAATCGACCGAGATAATTCACCATTCCAAGAATTCTCTTAAGTTCAGTCACATTTGTTGGTGCAGCCAACTCACGTATTGCACGCACACGTTCTGGACATGGACTGATACCATCTGAACTAATCATGTGTCCAAAATATTCAATGCTCTGTTTCCTGAACTCGCATTTCTTCTTATTGAGTTTCAGGCCAACTTCCTTGATACGGTCCAGCACGCGGTCCAGACGCTCGTCATGCTCCTCCAACGTACTCCCATATATGATGATATCGTCCATTATGGCGTCCGCTCCGTTAATATCTGCTAATATCTCTGACATACGACGCTGAAATATTTCAGGGGCTGACGTAATACCAAATGGAACCCGCTGAAAGCAGTACCGTCCAAACGGAGTTATGAAGGTAGTAAGGTGACAACTCTCTGGATCTAGAGGTATCTGGTGAAACCCACTACTAGCATCAAGTTTCGAAAAGACTGTAGCCTTGCACAGCTTTGGGGCAATGTCGTCCAAGTTGGGTAACATATAATGTTCACGTTTGACTGCCTGGTTTAGTTTCTGAAGGTCCACACACAAGCGAACATCCCCGTTTTTCTTGAAGGCTGTCACGATGGGTGCACACCAATCCGTCGGTTCTGTGACCTTCGCAATGATCCCCACGTTCTCCATTCGGTTAGTTCTGCCTCAAACTTTGGCATCAATGGAAACGGAATCCTGCGAGCTGTAGTGACGCAATACGGTGTGGCTCCGGGCTTAAGCGTTATCTTGACAGGTGGGCCCTTGACGCATCCATGTGTACCAAACACATCCCGAATTTCCTCGATTTTCATAACAAGTCCCATACGGTGTGCGACACTTCGACTGAGCAAATTAGAACCACTGTTAGAGTTCTTAAGCACATACACTCGAAAATGAAACTCACTGTTCTTGTGAAAAGTCTTAGCAACGAACATCCCCTTACTCCACTGATCCTCCTGGGCTGTACAGCTGATTTGTCGAAGCCTGTAGTTTTGGCTTTACTGGCAATGAATTGTACGTCGCTCCAGTTATCACGGATGTGTCAGCACCAGTGTCGATCTTAAATGTACTTCCGACATATCTTCAGCTTTACTGTCCATGCGTCTGTATTGTCCGACTCACTTAGGTCAATAGAACCCATGTAGAATGAATCAGGTGATGAACATGCACCTTGAACTTCCTCTATGTGTTTGGGTTTACTTCGACAAACTATCTTAAAGTGTCCTTTTTTCCCGCACTTTAGACATTTCTTCCCTGATGCCGGACAGTTTCCAGGATTGTGCTTCATATTACACTTGTCACAGTTATTGTAAACTCTTTCCTTAGCTTTAGGTTGTCTGCTGTAATTGTGTTTAGGTTGTTGTCCATTTTGCTGCCTAAATCTCACTGCATCTAAGTTCTTAGATTGTAAGTCTTTAATCTGATGTTTCACTAACTCTGAATTACGCGCCATCTCGACAGCTTTCGTGAGTGTTAAGGTCAGATTCAAGCTGTAGTTTCTCGCTAAGTTCCTTGTCAATAATGCCCACGACTAACCTGTCACGGATTTGGTCGCTCTTATCTCTAAAATTACAGTGCGCCGCCAACTCGTGCAAACTTCTGACGAATTCCTCAACTGACTCTCCCTGGCGCTGGCTCCGGATGTGGAATTTGGCGCGCTCATGAATCACGTTTTTCTTTGGAACGAAATACTTATCGAAACTTTCAAGAACCTTCTTAAATTTCTTCTCATCACCGTTCGAGAATACGAAGGATTTGAATATCCCCTCTGCTTCGGGCCCCATGGCGTATATCAATGAACTTATTTGTATTTGTTCATCCTCGTCAGTCAGTTTCGTTGCGATCTGAAACCTCGTGAATCGTTGTTTCCATTCCGGCCATTCATTTGGCCTGGTAAAGGCGAAACACTCAGGTGGATTGAACTTCGGCATTTTTTACACTAGGAACACTTCTGACACCATGTTTGGATGGCTAGGTTCGCTAATTGCCAATTACAACACCGAGTTCACACAAACACGTTTATTCCATATGGCGCTAAAACTAAAACTAAACAGGTACATATTCAGTCGTACATGAAAAGGTTACACATACACTAGATAGTTCGTACGATAACACATTTACTAAACATGCCCAGAAGAACAGAACAAAGTAGAGAGAGAGAGAGAGGAATTATATTTTGCTGTTACTTGTATTTTGCTATATTTTAGGAAACCAGGGTTTCAAAGATTGCATGACCAGGAACAGATTTACAAAATTGTCCCAGTACTTACACCTCAATGACAACACTACACAAGGACCGCCAAGATCTCTACTGTATGACAGGTATCTAAATTGTTTCATTGTCTATTATGGATATAAAAATTCATTTTAAAAATAGCAGTCTTAGTAAGTAAAGCAATATATGAATGTCAACATTGAGTTGGCATCGTCGTCCGTCGTGCGTCGTGTGTCGTGTGTTAACATTTGAACATTTTCAGCTTCTTCTCTAAAACCACTGAACCAATTTCAACCAAATTTGGTATACAGCATCTATGGGTGAAGGGGAACAAAAATTGTGAATTTCATGGTCCCCGCCCCCCTGGGGCCTGAGGGGTGGGGCCAAAACCACTAAAATTAATGAAATATTTAAAAATCTTCTTTACTCCTGGACATCAAGCAGGCAAACTGTTGGCAAATTAGGAAAATTTTAAGATCATCGTCAGATTGTCGTAAGTTGTTTTTCAAAGCTATCGTATGATTATCCTAAACTAAGACGTCTTAAATCATTATGACATAGAAATACGCAAAGTTTTATACCATTGTCAGGAATCGGAGAGTTGTCATTTTTGCTATATAATGATACACGTCATGTCATAGTAATGAAAATATTTTAAAGATTGAAAGAAAAAAAATAGAAAATTGATTTTTTTTAAAATCTATAAATATGAATAATATATATATATATATATTCTAAAAATAATCATCGATATACTGAATTATATTCAAATAGAGTACAATTTGATCATTCAGATTGAGAATTATTGAAGATGAAAAGCGCGCCAATTTGCTCCTTGGAACCCTTTTTCATTCACAATTTCTGGATCGACCAGAAAACAACCAGCAGATGAGTTGAAAGAGAAGCCCTAAATTTTCTCAGATTGAAATCAGAAATACTACTTGATGAGGTGGAGAAACACAGAGCCATTATATTTTCAAAATTTGCCAATGTATCTACAAATTCTTCAAAGAAAAAAGCATTGTAGGCAATATATGAGGAAATGAAAGAAAAAGTGAGCAAGCTCACATACCCCACGCTCCCCGACGAAATTCTGCAGCGGTGTATGAGGGGTCGCGCTGACAAAATGTTCATCTGTATATTCAAGGTATGGCCAAAAGTCTAATTTTAAAAGTGAGAAAATTCCCAGAAAAATAAAGGAATCGGAATTTCTTGGTAATATGCACATCTACACACTGTGTCCTAAATATCTGCAAAGTTTGATGAAATTCTGTGCAGCGGTTTATGAGGAGTTGCGCTGACAAACTGTTCACCACTATATTCAAGATATCCCCAAAAATCTAAGTTGAAAAGTGTGGAAATTCTAAGAAAAAATAAAGGAATCGGAATTTCCTGGTAATATGCACATCTACACATTGTGTCCTAAATATCTGCAAACTTTGACGAAATTCTGTGCAGTGGTTTATGAGGAGTTGCGCTGACAAACTATTCATCTCTATATAAAAGGTATGGCCAAAACCTAAGCTTTTAGTGCGGAAATTCCCGGGAAAAATAAAGGAATCGGAATTTCCTGGTAATATGCAAATCTACACATTGTGTTCTAAATACCTGCAAAGTTTGACGAAATTCTGTGCAGCGGTTTATGAGGAGTTGCGCTGACAAACTGTTCATCTTTATATTCATAATATGGCCAAATGCCTAAGTTAAAAAGTGCGGAAATTCCAGGAAAAAATAATGGAATCGAAATTTCCTGGTAATATGCAAATCTACACATTGTGTCCTAAATACCTGCAAAGTTTGACGAAATTCTGTGCAGCGGTTTATGAGGAGTTGCGCTGACAAAAAAAGGACTGACTGACTGACTGACACTCTGACGGACGGGTCAAAAACATTATACCTCACGCAACTAGTTGCGTGGGGTATAATTAACAAATTACATTGACCACTGTAGGACAGTAGAAGTAAAGAAGAAATAGTCCTGTTACATGAGTGAAACAAAATAGAAGGCAGCGCAAAATCGAAGGGAAGCATGCAAAACTGGAGGAGGCGGTATCAGAGCTAGGTAACCGAA